GGCACGCGTGTGTGTAGATTATTCCTAGAACTTCTAGAACTGTACTGGATAAGAATGGACAATTATTTATTCCATAGTTCTGTACTAGAGCTTCACACATCATTATGTGCATGTTATGTCAACGTTTTTCTTGTTAAATGATTCATTCTTCTCTTGACAAATTTTCCTAACTGCACTTAACGTGGCAACTGTTCCCCCCCCCACCCTCATTCCAACACTCCCGTATCGTCTAAGTGCCCCACAGGGGGCGGTAGTGCCCATTTTTGGAAACACTGACCTAGACAGTTGTATCGGCAGCCAACTGTTTAGATGCTATCGCAAGCTATTGAACGTAAAACTGCCTAGTGGAACCATAAAAAAGCCCAAGCATGATGGGGTTATTTCTGCCAGGGGCTGTAAAGGATGCACTTAACTTTTAACACTTTTAGACAAGGTTAGGAGGGGGAAAGTGAAAAGGGGCGGGGCGTGGGGGGTGGGGGGGGGGGAATCATTTATGCACTTAAAGTAATGCAACATAAGTGAACATATTATGCGAATAGATTTTAAAATGTTTTATTTCAGATATTCAGTTGCATTTGCAGCTATTTGTTTCTATGTTCCTAAAGTAGACCAGGAATACTAGTTGGAGCTTATAAAATAATTTTTGTTATGCAGATAACACAGTATTATTAGCTGAAAACGCAGAAGACCTACGACAACTATCAGACATTGTGGTACTAGAGAGTGAAAAAAAAAAGACCTTCATTGAAGATCAAGAAATAAAAACAATGGTTATATCAAAGAAGAAGATAATTCCAAAATGAGACATACCAATAGAAGGGAAAGTACTTATCATGTCAATAGATTCTAGTATTTGGGGACATTTATAATATCAGATGGACAATGTGTGACAGAAAATAATAGCATAAATGAAGCATTTCAGAAGAGAAGTATCCCATATAACAAATAACTCTCATCAAACATCAGAAAACGAGTACTGAAATGTTATATCGAGCCTGTTTTGTTGTAAGGCGTCAATCTTGGAATGTGACAAAACACATTAACAAGAGTTTGAGGTAGCTGGGACGTGGTTCTTGAGAAAAAATGTTTCGAATAGCTTGGCCTGCCAGAATAACTAATATTGATAGCTTAAGACACTGGCATGGAAGAATATCATAAGTGGAATTGATTCAGAACATCAAAGAAAGAGATTTCGGGAGATGCATGAACGCCTACGCCAGCTGGCAAGGCCCTTGATAATGATGTCCCTAATGTGATCGTAATCACATAATTTCAACGTGGTCAACTTTAAGGGAACAACGAAGACGACTCTTCTAATTAATATTTCTTTTCCCCAGGGGGTCCCGTTTGCAAGTTTATCAAATTTATAAAATTTACGAAAGAAAAATTGGCAGCGTACAAATAAAACTCGATACAGCTGCCATTTGATATCGATCTATGTTTCGTTTCAAAGTATTGCACTAGAATGGGGCTAGTTTGTAGAAGCCTGCTTTGGCAATTTTTGTTCAAACGTAGAAGCACATCGGTTCATCGATAAACACACTTTAAGTGGTTTAGAACCACAGGGGCACAAACAAGAAAGGCAACTCCAAATATATACAGAGAAGAGAATTAGAGAGTGAAGTTAGGAAAATGGTGAGGACGTGCGTGAACTGCATGCGATAGTATAGGATAGGACGGCTTCATATGAACTGGTCTAGGTCCTATGCTCCACTGGGGTTTAAAGGGCAGACGAAAAAGAAAAGTGAAATGAGAACTACTTTATTTAAGTGCAGTAATATCCCCGTACTTTATCCTAAACTTAGTACTTCATCCGTGTTTTTCCGAAGCATGTTTTTTTTTTTTGACATCAGTTTGTTTTTTTCTTAAATACTATACTAAGTTGTTTTCAGCTTTCCTTTTGGCTCTGTTCTAAATTGATTGCTTTATTTTTAAAATTATCGCTTTATCTTCTTCCATTCACTTTTGTCGATTCTTTTTCTTCCGCTTTTTCTCCTCATCTTGCTCCTCGTTGTCCTTCACTTCCTCCTGCTCACCCTCCTCCTTCTTCGTCTTCTTTCCTGTCCTATTTATCATCAGCATCTTTTCGTCCTCATCCTATCCACCATACTCAAGAAGTTAACTGATGCAACCCTTGTCAGCATTATCTATCACATTTATCTAAAGTTACAGTGCAATAGCACTTTCCAAACTTGTTGTTAAAGCGGTAACCCCCTAACGTCAATCTGTTACTGCTATAACTTTTTTATATCATATGGAGTTCTACGTATCAGCTGCTAAGTTCCTATGTGTAGGAGTTAAAATAAACTACAATGTGACAGAGCGAAGTGGCTTTACACTTTTGATATAACGAATATATGTAGCGATTATCTATGGCAGAATGAAGTTTGGGAGTAAACTTTTAAAAATATTTCTATGAACATATGCTGTAAGTAAAGGTTAAGATCCCTTTTCCACGCCTTTAGGCGTATATTGCATATAGAGATAGGCCTATATTTTATAGACCACTTGGCTCTTGGTGGGTGATGTAGTCAGCATCACGCCGGCTGCCTTTATTTCCCGGGACTGCTGCCGGTAACCACTCAAGGCTGGGTCGACCCAGAAGTCAATGTCATTTTTGAAAAACGTCCGGCTCTGCCAGGGAGCGAACCCACGACTTTCCGATTCGCATGCTAACGTCTAGCCGCTACGCCACGGCGATTCCCGTACATATGCTGAGTTGCCTGATAATGAACTCAATCTTTTGTCACATTCTGTGTCTGTAACAAATAATTAATATTACAGACATATTGCTTCAGAAATATATTTGCAGTCACTATCTCCACTCATAGAAACATATTTACGAAAGAAAAATAGAGATCTAGAGTTCAAACCTACGAATGGGAACTAGCCACTTTCAAAAGAAAGTAGTGCTTCTCTGACAAAAAGTGCCCCCCCCCCCCCGCCCTCCCCCAGTAAGGTTCCAGAGCCGCATTCTAAGGAAAGTTGGAGATGCACTGTTTTTACAAGCATGTCGTAAAAGGGAATTTATTAACTGTTTTACTAAAATCGAATGATTCGGACTAATAGACGCAAATATTGCAGGATAGCTGTAAACGACAACACAGCACGAAGACCATAATTGTAAGGGCGAATGAAAAACAGGAAGAAGCTGAAAGAGCAACAGTACTTTCACCCATCGCCAACATTAGTACGTTCTTGCACTTCTAAACATAGAAAATGGTGTTTGTGTGTGTGTGTGTTTGTGAGAAACCCAGGGGTGGGGGGGGGGGGGGGGTATTGGAGGTAATTATAAGCACTGTTCCAATTTCTAGAGACAGAAACAAAAATTATGCATTCCAATTGTGCAACTGGAGCCAATCTGTTACTACAGGGTTCCTAACCCTACAGAGCACAATAAAAGAATTAATTGACCGTGTTGATTGAATGCAGTCAAGCGAAAAATTAGATATGATGAATTGTGGAATGAGTGAGTATACCTATAGACAACCGTCTATCAATCCACTGGGGCACATCATTGAATAAGCATTTAACATATTCTTACACAAACCATCTGTGATAAACTGTCAGATCAGTCCGTCCAAACAACCTGTCGCCCAGACTTACTTGCTGCCACTTCTTCTCCACGTATGAAATGTGTGTGCGTGTGTGTGTCTTTATGTATGTACAGAGAGAGAGAGAGAGAGAGAAAGAGAGAGAGAGAGAGAGAGAGAGAGAGAGAGAGAGAGAGAGAGAGAGAGAGAGAAAGACAGGACGAGGGAGAAGCAGAAAGGATGAGTGATGGCAGTCGAGACCTAGATTGTATACACTGCAGGGAAAGGTAATAAAGAATAAATATGATCAAAAATAAAATGTTCACATTATCTTCGGCGGAAATATTTGGTTATTTGTACACCTCTGGACTCTAGTCTTGGTCCAGCATCTAAGTGTTGTTTGCATATCCGTTTTACACATCTGACAGATGCAGTGGATTTCCACAATGGAGCCCACAAACCCACATAAAAGGTTTATGTGTTAAATAATATGGCAGTAGAGCTCGTCGAGAAACTTCAGAGTGTTGTTATGTCAATTAAAAATTTATTTACTCATTCGTTCATTCATTCACACATTTCATAGTATAGCTAGAAGTGATACAGAAGAGATATAATCGGTTTTGAAACTGCATATAAAAAAGCTGAGATAGTGTGTATTTAAACAATCAGAAAGACAGACAGACAAACAGGGAGCCATATATACAGGCCGACATTAGAACAATGTAGGAATCAAGAAGACTAGGCTAAACTTTACTATATTATGTTGTCAAGAAGATAGGCACACCTATAAGCAGGTGAGGGCACACATATAAGCAGGTGAAGGCACACATGTAAGCAGGTGATGGCAGACATGTAAGCAGGTGAGGGCACACATGTAAGCAGGTGAGGGCACACATGTAAGCAGGTGAGGGCACACCTATAAGCAGGTGAGGGCACACATGTAAGCAGGTGAGGGCACACATGTAAGCAGGTGAGGGCACACATGTAAGCAGGTGAGGGCACACCTATAAGCAGGTGAAGGCACACATGTAAGCAGGTGAGGGCACACATGTAAGCAGGTGAGGGCACACATGTAAGCAGGTGAGGGCACACCTATAAGCAGGTGAGGGCACACCTATAAGCAGGTGAAGGCACACATGTAAGCAGGTGATGGCAGACACACAGATAACCAGTCAAGATTAGCGAATTTTCAGTATGAGATGAATACAGGAATGCGGGCTTTGCACAATCAGACATGATTAAACAAATAAAACCAACAGACAAAAATGAAGACAAACGAGTTGCAAGATAAAAAAAAAAAAGTTAAAAAGAATGGACCTACATTCCGATTCTGCCTTTGAAAGGTGCACATACATACACGAACACACTGTCAAAAAAATGTTCAAATCTTAGGACACACTTGAAATAATGTGCTGAAACAAACACAACCCGAGGGAAACCGAGAAAAACCATCACATTAACACTTACCAGCTCGACGCGCCCAAATCCTCCCATCCCTAGTGTGGTCACCAGCTGAAGATCATCCAGAGTGATGTTTTCAAACTCCTTGGCGACAGGCCGGTCTGCTAAAGAGGACACGGTGGTGTCACTGCCGCCACGTCTGTTTAAGGAAGATATTCGGTGATTATATCACACCAATCCGTGGTAAAATTACCACCGTTAATGAATGTGCGTATGTGTTATGTTGTTTCTTCAGACAACACTACTATACTTCATAAGAAGACAAAAAAAGTTAAGTACCTTTTTTTGTGTCAGTGAGACATCTGAGATTTTATAACTGAGTAAAAGACCTTTGTCAATATAATGCAACATTCCTATTTTTGTGGGCCAATCAATACTTGCTGTGTGATTTGCTTGACCAGACACCAGCCGTCTTTACCTCCGAATATTTTACCTGGTTTAGGTTGAGGCTCATTAGGTTTGACTTATACTAAAAATCTGTCCAAAGAACTTATTATCTTCTTTTTTTTCCTCAGGATGTTTTGGAAATATCACATTGTCATTCCATAGCACGCTATTACTGTTTGTCTGGGCTTTTTGCAATGATACGTTCGTGCAAAGTCATTGACATCTATATGTGGCTTTTTCTCTAGAGGGTTATATAAAGATATGGTGCCTGCGGTGTCATGGATAAGTGTCATGGCTAATTATAAGCTATACATGTTCTAGTACACGGTTCGTATTCTAAACAAAGGTTGTATACCAAGCAAAATTGTTCGCCTCTGAACAGGAAGTGTACCGAGTGGAGCGTATATTAAAGCAAACGTATACCTATGCACTTATATATATATATATATATCATGGAAGGATAGAATGTGTGACAAATAGAATTATATGGAGTAAACCGTGCCTGTCATGGCCAGTGAAAAGAAACAGGAAAATATTAAGAGAGTGTAGGATGAAAGAAAGAAGCCAAAAAGATAAGGCAGGGTACTGAGAGATGCAAAGAGAACTGAGATTGACGACCGATTTTGTCATACACACAAACACACAATTTCTATATATATCTTACATTAATAAAAAATGTTAATTTTCCGAGTTTGTTAACTAAAAACTCGGAAACTACTGTAACGATTGCTTGCAAATTTTCACACAACGTCGCCTTTAACTCAAAGCGTGACTTTTTGTCAGACAATTGCACAAACCACGAACGACGTAGCTCCAGCAACGGTCAAATCATTATTTGTTTCATTGCCGGATCGGATTTGTTTTTAGTTGATTGGCAAATTTTTACTGCTGAGCTCTTTTTTAACTTTGCATTACTATATTAATTAATTTCCACTATCTGCTTGAGTGTTCGGTAACGTAGTTATAACTATTCCGCCTATCATGCGAGTGACCCGCGTTCGATTCCCCGCTAGGTGATATAACTTGTTTTAGCCTTTAACTGGGCGGCTGGCATGTTGTGTTGTGGTTTATGGCTATGCTGCAATATCTACGGCTTTCTTTCGGTTTTGGGGTTTACAGCTAGCCTGCGACAGCGGCGACGTGATGCTCAATGGTAATGTCACGGGTAATCTTAGTTCGCCCTTGAGAGGGCGGTTGGTACGTTGTGTTGTGGTTTACAGCTAGGCTGCGATATCTGACCTAAACTCTTCAGTCGTCGGTAGTATAATTGTACGTATTCCGTCCTTCACGAGGGTGACCGGTGTTCGATTCCCCGCTGGGTGATAATTGTTCTTTTTCCCTTAAAAGGGTGGTTGCCACTTTGTGTTGTGGGTTACAGCTAGGTTGCGATACCTGCGCTTTTCGCCCAAGACATTCGATTTCAGTTAAGTAACAAATTAGCCTCCCCTCGACGCTTCTCGATCTAAAACTATTAGGCAATGACAGAAACTGTTAACTAAGACGGCTTGCAGTCCAGTTTAGTTTGAATGGACACGGATCCCAAGGTCAGTTATAAATCGTTTCTTCGGAGAGGGAGAGATGACGGGTGCGGGGTATTTTTCTCCGCTATTCTGGACTATTGTGTACTTTTTACTGTGGGTTTCATAGCTGGTTACGTGATGAAGGTTTTTTTTTTCCTATGTCTGGAGCAACATTAAACTAAATAGTCCGTGGCGACAGCATGCGGCGCTAACTCCTCTTTTCTACACCTACCAATACAGACTGTAGTGACAATTTTTTGTTGTTGTTGTTGTTGTGATGGTGGTGGTGGTAGTGGTTGCAGTAGTACTGGCACTGGATGGGTGATGTGGTAGCTGTTACACTTGTCACTTTTACTTCTCAGTACAAGTTGATGCTACCTTTTTAAGTCTGGGTGGACACGGATGCCAAGCTCAATCCAGTTATAATATTTTGTCACATGGTGACTTTCCCATCCTTCGGAGAGGATGACATTGTTGGGGGAGCGGGAAAGGGAAGGGGGGAATTATGCCAGACACAGTTAGCTAAGAGAGCTTAAAATATTTTTTAAAGTTCACATTTCTTAACCTTTTCTATTTTCATAATTTCGCCAGGTGATGATTTTTCAATCCTACGGAGAGGGAGATATGACTGGGTCAAAGGAAGGGGGGGGATATGACAGACACTGTTAGCTGAGAGCTATTTTCTTTCCTCTCCATTTCATCTTTCTGGGCCACAGCAACGCATGGCCGGGTACAGCTAGTCTAAGTATATAGTCTACATTCAGTTGCCTAGATGTAAAATAGTCTCTTTTAAGAGTTAGTCAAATATATAGGTCTATATTGAAAGTCAGTACAATGTGTATCTTCATGATTTTTTAATCTAAGTATGATATAATGCTTCTTCTGAGCCAGTCACTTGAGAAACCAGTACATCTATATTTCTTCCCGACCTGTAAACATCTAAGGATAACTCTTTCCTCTGTAGGTACCAATGATATCAATACCTGTCACAAATACGCAACCATTTTCGGACACCTTCTGATCACAATGGTGATGACTAAAAAATATGTGGGTGGACAATTTACTCACTAACCCAACTACGCTCCCGTGCCTAGTTGGACGCTACTGAATGCACTTCCCAGCGAAAACTTATATCAATGGTGATCATAGGTATCAATGACTCCTCCCGAGTAATCTATGGTTATAGGGAAGCCTTCCGTCTTCCTGACATACCGTCATGAATGTGTCTCTTTTTAAGCAATCCCTGCCACAGACACTAGTGTATATGTAAAGTTAGTTGCGTATACTTCACATTACGTTCGCAGAACCAACCCCAGCATTTGTTGGCTGTTGTGGTTTTTCTAGGCAAATTATACGTTCAATAGTTTGCCATTACCCTGAACGGTCAGCTCTCCGTACCACTCTCGAAACCAGCGCAAGGCACATCTTCCGCAGCAGGGATTTAACCCTGCACACCGGCATTACGAAGTGCGTTCGTAACGCCGCGGACACATATATATATATATATATATATATATATATAAACTATATTTATATAAAACGGAAGATGTATTACATCGATGAAAAACAGGCCAAAATTTTATGCCATGAAAAATTTTATCATAAATCTATGTTACTGCTTTTAGGAAAATAATTATCCTTTGCTGTATAGCGCCAGGTTTAACATACGGCTGTGAATCCTGGACAATTAACAAGCAAGCCGAACAATTGCTTGAGGTCACGGATATGTGGTTTGACAGAAAAATCCTCCGAATTCATCAAACATCTAAAAAAAAAAAAAAAAAAAGCTACCCGTATGTTTTGAAAAAAGCGAGGGCTGATCGACAACTTGTCACAAACACCAGAAATAGACAGTCATAAATTTTTTAATTATTTTTGGTCATAATATGAAAAGATGAAAACTGGAACATGCTCTGATCACTGGAATGATATTTGGGAAGACAGACAGAGAAAGACAGCGTTAGAGAATTCTTGACAGCCTTTTGTTTTGGCTTGGAGAGATGTCAACATACGCACTGATAAACGCATGTTGCCGATTGATTAGAGAAGCATGATTGCGCACGCTAGTCGGCCAAGACTCTTGATGATAATGATGCTCTCTGTTTTATATATATATATATATATATATATATATATATATATATATATATATATATATATATATATATATAGAGAGAGAGAGAGAGAGAGAGAGAGAGAGAGAGAGAGAGAGAGAGAGAGAGACAGAGAGAGAGACATACAGAGACAGAGACAGAGAAAGAAAGTAAAAATGAAAAAAGAAGAAGAGAAAGAGACAGAAAGAACAAAAGGGAGAGGAATAAATGGAAGCAATCACAATCTGAAAAATAAAAACAATTTGGGAACGGACCTTTCTGCTCCTCGAGCTTCATCGCCGTAATCCTTGTTGCGTAGTTCGTTGAGGTCTCCAATCAGTTTTGTGAATGACCTTAGAGGTAAATGGATGTTTCATTAGACACATGTTCGTGTTTCAGATGATGCACGAAATGGTTGCAGTAATATACAAAGGGGTGGTGGAAGCAATGTGTGATTTTTAGTATTTCTGAAAAAAACAATTGGTAGCTCCTCACTTTTACGACATTCTGTCTTAGTAAACATGTATAAAATATACAACTTCTCGTCCTTTTTAGGATGAAATTTTTCGTTCTTTGAAGCCCTACTCTGGCTATTGCCAGGGGCCGCGATATAGCCTGGCCATAAATATGGCCTAAAGGCTAAACGCGGTTTCTGGGACCTCTCCAGGGTGATCCTCAACCACATGGTGACACACTGTGTCATCGGGTGTTTATCGCTTGTGTGATGTCCTGGTGGAGTAAAAATCTACTACTACTACTACTACTACTACTACTACTACTACTACTACTACTACTACTACTACTACTACTACTACTACTACTACTACTACTACTACTACTACTACTACTACTACTACTACTACTACTACTACTACTACTACTACTACTACTACTACTACTACTACTACTACTACTACTACTACTACTACTACTACTACTACTACTACTACTACTACTACTACTACTACTACACTACTACTAGACTAGTACTACTACTACTACTACTACTACTACTACTACACTACTACTACTACTACTACTACTACTACACTAACTACTACTACTACTACTACTACTACACCTATACTACTACTACTACTGCTACTACTACTACCACTACTACTACTACTATAGACTATACTAAAACTACTACTACTAACTACTTATACATCACTATAATACTATACGCTACTATCCTTACTAATATAATACTACTACACTAATACTACTACTACTACTACTAACTACTCTACTACTACTACTACTACTACTACTACTACTACTACTACTTACTACTACTACTACTACTACTTACTACTACTATACTACTACTACTACTACTACTACTACTACTACTACTACTACTACTACTACTACTACTACTACTACTACTACTACTACTACTACTACTACTACTACTACTACTACTACTACTACTACTACTACTACTACTACTACTACTACTACTACTACTACTACTACTACTACTACTACTACTACTACTACTACTACTACTACTACTACTACTACTACTACTACTACTACTACTACTACTACTACTACTACTACTACTACTACTACTACTACTACTACTACTACTACTACTACTACTACTACTACTACTACTACTACTACAATCACACAGAGAGTAGTAGATTTAAAAAAACAATGCATCTCCTGATTACATAAATACCAGACGATCACTATTCTCTCCAAATAGTGATAGGAAAAAAAGCTAATTATCATCAATACCATCACTATCCTTGAATAACATAGTGCACAATAAATCTATACTATAAATCACCTACCTTTCTGTATTTCATGTATTTATTATTATTGAAATGCTAATTTCTCCCAGACCATGACCATTACAGGGGTTACATTTTCATTTGTTATAATGACTACGATGTTTAATTTAACAGTTACACTAGCGGACTAGATTACTGTGCATTTCTTTTATTTATTGCAAAAATCAGCAAAAGTAAACTTACACGCAAAGAAACAACAACAACACATACAAACCGATTTAATCTCAATAATAAACTTATATACATAGGGAAACAACTGAACATGAAAAATGTCTCAAAGTTTGAGGGACACGCAATGAAGATTACTTGTTCCATGTCAACCAGATTAACAAAACAAAAGCAACAATAACAATTGTAACAAGAAATGTACGCCGTATTAATAGACAGCCGCCGTGATATAGCAGGTAGACGCTGGCCTGCAGATCCGAAGGTAGTGAGTTCAGCTCCTGACGGAGACGAAAATATTTCCAAAATTACCCTGGCTCCCAGGTCGGCCCAGCTTTAAATAGGTTACTAGGTAGTTATGGGAGGTAAAGACAGCCGGCGTTATGTTGATTGCATCACTCACCGAGTGCCGATTGGTCTATATAATATAGGTCTAGCAATATTTGTCCAATACGTCTGAATGCGTGGAAAATAGTGCGTTCACGAACATACACAAACAACGACCTACATACACATACTCCTTTTTTTTAAAACAAGTTAGAGAGCCACCGTAGTGTAGAGGCTAGACACCCGCCTCTGAATCAGAATGTCCTGGGTTTTTATCAGCTTGTAAGTTGTACCTCACCAGAACATCACTCAAGTAATAAAACCCCCGGTGATACAAAGTACCACCATGCGGATAAAGATCACCCGTAGAAAGGTTCGGAAAACCCCATTAGGCCATATTTCAACCCCGGCTATAATTAGGACCCTGGCAAAAGCCATAATGGGGCTTCAAAATAGTAAATTATGGACCTGATTGAACCGGACTTTTATTTCAAAAATTAAATTGGTTTTCAGGTAGACCCAGCATTGGGTTGAGCACTGGGAAGTAAAGACGGCTGCTGTGATGCTAACAACATCCCCCACTGAGTGCCAGTCAGTCTATCAAGTGTAGGTCTAGGCATCTATGTCCAATACGTCTGAATGAGTGGAAAATAGTGCGTTCATGAACATACAAAAACAACGACCTACATACACGTACTCCTACAAAAAGATAGGGAGCCAGCGTAGTGTAGAGGATAGACTCTCGCCTCCGGATCAGGTCTTGGGTTGAGGACCTGATGGAACAGGACTTTTATTTCAAAACCAAACTTTGGTTCCCAGGTCGACCCAGCCTTGAGTTGAGTCCTAAGAAGTAAAGACGGCCGCCGTGATGCTAACAACATCCCTCACCGAGTGCCAATCAATCTATCAAATGTAGGTCTAGTCCTATATTTCTCATACGCCTAAAGGCGTGGAACAGCGTCAATGTTATTTTAGACAGTGGGGTAGTGAGGAAATAAAACAGTAACGATATAAATAACACAATCTTCTGATTACATGGACACACAACGGAGATTACTCACTCCCTGTCCACCGTGAGACATTCCACACCTGGGGGCAGTGCAATAACATTAGCCGTTCTTCTATCTTCGCTGAAAGCACACACAAAAACACAAAGCAGGAAATCAATCAACGGAACACCATTACCCAAAATGGCTGTGTCGAGAACGGTTGGATCAATCATGTCTAGGACTAGTCTGGCGAGAATGAGGCGTATTTATTGTCGACATAAAAAGGCGGACAATGATAAGTAAGTGTAGTCCCCTTTCAGGGAGCTGTGGTAAGGCAATGGTTAGGGTTTGTCTGATGTTTCGAAGGTGGTAGGTTCGGATCTGCATCATAGTAGGGTTGGTATAATAATATAGATTGACTGCTAGGTTGATTCAACTTAAAATTGGTACCATTGCTTCTGGGAAGCAAAGACGGAAGACATCACAATCACCAATTTCTACTACTGATGTCATGCGGCGTTGAGAGTCGAAAAGTTTGCTATGCATTGCTCGATGGTCAGCAATGGCTACTGTCATTCTTTTTCGATATGAAAGCTCTTTAATGTCATCAATTTATATCTTAGGCTACCTTTTGCTTCACATCAAATCCTTTAGTGCGTAGCTCCTGCGTTAGTAGTTGTTCTGGATGCAATCTTTCTAGATGACCAAACCGTCTGAACTTCTGTTTCTCAATGAATGTGATGCATAGCATTGTTCCTACAGTCTGCCACAATATCATTTCTAACTTTATCTTGGATGTTTAAGCTAGCGACTTTTGCAGGCAACTTATTTGACAGGTGTTAAATTCATGTAGGTTAGCCTTTGATAGTGTCCAAGTCTGGCACTGGTAGCACATTGCTGATATGAATATACGATTTATAATCTGTTTTCCCCGTGTGGGCGGGGCTCTATTATTGGGTTTGAATGAGACCCAGTGTACCTGAAGACGTGTTGTAAGATCGACTAATCGGGAGATTTTGTCGAAGTCGGTGTGCTCTACCTGAGAGTTATTTGAAACATCAGAGCATACAAAAAAAAAAAATCTCGTCTAACGGCACAGACAATCAGGTTCTGGATAAAGAGGATGAACCAGGAGTGGACGAACAACTATATAACTGTATCATGGCGGGCACTGATGACTGAGTGTAGACAGAAGACAGTGTGCTGTAACCTGCAGGACGTTGTTCGAGTGAACGACCGAAGACCTTATAATAGCTGCTAACTGAAACCTTACTAAATGTTCTGCGATTTAATAAAATTCCTCATGTGGGTGGCGACCCCAGACACACAAAGGTTTTCCAAATACTTCATAACTACAGTGAATATGTGTTTTATAATGGTCTTTGTTGACCCCTGTACCAGCCTCGTTAGGTGACCCACAAAAGGGTCGCGACCAAACGTCAATTGTTCTAACAAACTAGTGGTTTTGCGAATTTAGGATTGAAACCCTTTAAAATAGTTGCTCATGTTGTGGCGACCCCACTGTAGTAGATTTTTTGCAGTTGAACTTCATAATGTAGGCAGTGAATAGTGTTTTGCAGATTGCCTTTGGACGATCCGGTGAAAAGCTCGTTCGACCCACAAAATGGTCGCGGCCAATAGGGTATATAGGGCTATATAAAAATAGACCTTTATTTTATAGACCAAAGGCATTCAAATGGGTGATGGAGGTCAGCAGTCACGCGTAGCCGATTTTTACTTCCCGGGACTGCACCCGGTAGGCACTCATGGGTCAAGTGCTGGGAGCCAATGTAATTTTTGAAGAAAAGTCGGCTCTTAAAGGGAGCGAAAAGACCTTTTCCATCCGCGGCGCGCGTCTAGCCGCTCTAGGGCTAGACTTCCCCGTGGATAGATCATGACTCTCCACAAGATGGGTGATGTGGTCAGCACCCGGTACCCACTCAAGGCTGGGTCGACCTGGGAGCTAATGACATGCCAAACGGATGTTAAGAATCGTCTCGCGTTGTTTTCCTCTATCTCGCTTTTTACATATCTTTCCAGTGGCTACAACACGTTCCAGTTTCTTTTTTCCTATACCATAATCACAGACACATACACTAAATGATGACTGTCTCTTTCTCGTGTATGTAATAAGTTGTCTTTCAGCCCTTGCTTCTTTCAAGACAGCTGGGTGCCTCTTTTTATTTTGGCGGAAGGCATTGGAAAACTACCACTGTATTTTCCCTAGTAAATCTAGCCTTGAAACCTTCAAACTAGTGTAGACAATATATGTGTTATACTTGTTTTATCTTCGTTTTCTACTCCTAGTTTTTTTTTTTTTTTTTTTGCAGCAGCAGCAGCAGCATTTTCTCCTCCACTTCCCTGGCTTATATGACGACGCAGCCTTTAAAGAAAAAAACCAGGAAATTCATTGGGATTTAATATATAATCCATCATCAATTAATTTACCTCAGGAGCGCCTTTTCACCGAAGTAATCTCCCCGCTTTAATCTTCTTACTTCTTTAGGTTCTTCTTGGCCGGCTATCATCTGTGTTACTTTCACCTGTCAAAACAAAATCACGCCAATAATTTGCTATAGTTAATGAGTGAAAAAGAAGGTCGCCGTAGCGTAGCGTAGCGGCTAGACGCTAGCGTGCAGATCCGAAAGTAGTGTGTTCGCTCCCTGGCGGAGCCGGACTTTTTTCAAAAATGACATTTACTCCCAGGTCGACCCAGCCTTGAGTGCGTACCAGGTGCAGTCCTGGAAAGTAAAGGCGGCTGGCGTGATTCTGACCACATCACTCATCTTGAGCTGATTGGTTTATAAAAATATAGGTCTAGCCCTATATGCCCTATAGCCTAAAGGCGTGGAAAAGGGTCCTTTACTAATGAGTGAGAAAAATAAACATGATGTAACCGTAACCGATGTTGGTTATTCTCCAACAAATAAATTGGCTGCAAGGTTGACCTAGCCTAAAATGGGCACTATGTAAAGTCCTGGGAAGTAAAGGCAGTCGGCGTGATCTTGACCATTGCACCCATTGGGTGCCGAGTGATATACACAAATTATGAGTATGTATCATATATACCATAAGTCACTGACATGACAAGTGTCCTTCACTTCTTTACTTACCGTAAAATATTTTTTATTAAAAGATTTGTTAATAGGTCGTTCCCATTTTTAAGTCACATTTGAATATGAGAAGGAAGTAAAATACTTATTTATAAACACATGTAATGGACAGACTGGCACTCATGTATGCATGCATGCATGCATGCACGCACGCACGCACGCACGCACGCATGCACGCACTTACGCACGCACGCACACACACACACACACACACGCGCGCGGTGGATGACATTTGGCATGTGAAGGTTGAAAAGAAAATTGGTTATTTTCTAACGAAACAAAAACAGTGTTAATCAACCAATACAAATATACGTGGTGAATACGATGTTATTAAATTTAGACACATGGCGAGACTAATAACGATGGGATGAAAATGTCGACGGCGATATAAACCATTCTACACCACTATCATCATCATCTTCATCTGATGCATTAAGGCGGTCAAGGTTCACCATTTCAAGGAGGCTGTACTTACTGTTGGTTCTTATGCTTCGTTATAGTCTGTTATATGTAATAACGCAAACACACATACACATTCAGAGGCGCTGACACATAGAGAAAATATTAGTGTGTTAAAATGGGGGAGAGGGAAAAGGGTCGACCCCTTTTCAAATTTACTGAAGGAGGGGGAGCTTAAGAAGTCTAAGACCTATTCTAGTGCATAGTAGTAGTAGCAGCAGCAGAAGTAGTGGTGTGGTGGTGTTGGTAGTAGTAATAGTAGTTGTAGTAGCAACAGCAGCAGTAGTAGTAAGGTGCACAGTGACACAATTCATTCTCGATCTGACGGCAGCCTTTACAATGCTCGCAGGCCGAAGGCCAAAACCAGAATAAGAAAGGTATTCATCAAAGAGCTGCTGTTTGCAGATGATGCGGCAAAAACCACCCACTCAGAGGAGGAGCTGCAATGGTTACTATCTGCCTTTGCTGATGCATGTTTTGAATTTGGACTAACGGTCAGCAAAAGGAAGACAAAGGCTATGGTGCAAGGTGCTAATGACAGACCTACAGTCCACATTGGCGGTGAAGAACTTGAGACAGTAGACCATTTTACATATCTGCGCTCGACAGTGAATAGTAAACTATCACTGGACCAAGAAATCAACATCAGGATAGGTAAGGCAGCAACAACAATGAGCAGATTGACAAAGAGAGTTTGGGAAAACAGAAAGCTCACAATTAAAACAAACCCTTGTCTATCAAGCTTGTGTTCTCAGCACTCTGCTTTATGGCAGTGAAACTTGGTCCACCTATTTGCACTAGGAGAAACGTCTAAATAGCTTTAACATGCGATGCCTGAGAAGTATGCTTGCCATTAAGAGGCAGGAAGAAATCACAAACACCGAGGTAAGCGAAAGAGCAGGTACTACAAGTCTTTTTCCGTGCTAAGTCTACGAAGGCTCAGGTGGCTGGGTCACACCTAAAGAATGGAGGATGGCAGAGTGTCTACGGACATCCTTTATGGTGAATAAATGACAGGAAGAAGATGTCGAGGCCGACTTCTACTACGGTATGAAGATGTGTGCAAGCGGGACATAAATGATACAGGTACTGGGGTGGACTAAAGGGAACGAAATGCCATAGACTGTGTTGTGTGGAAAGAGCATATCAGAAATGGAATGAGAGTGAAGGAAGAATTGATTGCACAAAGGATGAGAGCTGAGCGTCTAAAAAGAAACGGATTAAACACAAATGTAGACAACAATGGTCCTGAGATCAGATGCTATAATTGTGGAAGACTATTCTTGACGAGTCTTGCTAGTCACACTCGCCATCGCCATGGGCTGTGAATCTCATGCCTCCTCATAGCGGAATATAACACTATCGTCTGGAAAGACAGAAAGGCGCCAATCAATGATGAATTAAGAATCGATTTCATAGCACTCGGGACAACCCCATAAGCAGTCCGTCCTCATCTTCAGCAGCAAACGAAAAGTTCCAATTCCGATGGCCCCAGGAACTGTCTGATTGTGTATCTGTCTCGCCCTTCGTTTGAGTGTTAAGCGTCGGTCGGATGGCCATTTAATGAGAATTAATCCAACAATACCAACATTATTAGGTACAAAATATACAGCATCGAGAGCGTAGAACTTGAAAGTAATCAACATATAGAAACCCTTAAGGACACATATGTTATGCATACAATAAACAAATAATGTATTGCTTGGTACTCATGGAAAGAAGTAGACAGATAGAAACATAGGGCAATATAAAAATCTTCAATACAGCTATGTTTGTTTATTATATTTAACATGAAAGTAGAAGCACTAGAAGGTAGGGGACGATTGAGAAAGAGTCACTGAGACTTCACAACATCCCAACACAACAAGAACCGAGCGTGTCCTTGCTCAGATGCCAATCATCTGTTAACTTGCGATACCCAGCGGTCATGAGAAGACAGTCATCATTGTTCGGCCATGTTATGAGAAGTCAGTCATCATGTTTCGGCCATGTTATGAGAAGACAGTCATCATTGTTCGGCCATGTTATCAGAAGTCAGTCATCATGTTTCGGCCATGTTATGAGAAGACAGTCATCATTGTTCGGCCATGTTATGAGAAGACAGTCATCATTGTTCGGCCATGTTATGAGAAGACAGTCATCATTGTTCGGCCATGTCATGAGAAGACAGTCATCATTTTTCGGCCATGTTATGAGAAGACAGACATCATTGTTCGGCCATGTTATCAGAAGTCAGTCATCATGTTTCGGCCATGTTATGAGAAGACAGTCATCATTGTTCGGCCATGTTATGAGAAGACAGTCATCATTGTTCGGCCATGTTATGAGAAGACAGTCATCATTGTTCGGCCATGTCATGAGAAGACAGTCATCATTTTTCGGCCATGTTATGAGAAGACAGTCATCATTGTTCGGCCATGTCATGAGAAGACAGTCATCATGTTTCGGCCATGTTATGAGAAGACAGTCATCATTGTTCGGCCATGTCATGAGAAGAGGGAAAATATAACAGGTTGCGACCACTGGAAAGATCTGTGGAAGGAGGGATAGAGGAAGACAACGAGAAAAGATTCTCGACAGTCTTGTTGCATGGCATCGAGGTGTGTCAGCACACGAACTGATACATGCTGCAGGAAATCGTGGATTATGGAAAGGAATGATCTCCCACGCCAGTTGGCAAGACACCTGATAATTATGATGACCTAGCGGTACAAGCAAAATATGGAAAAGAAAAGGAAATGGAAGAAGGAAAAACATGTAGTTATTGTTACAATTTACCAACTACACAATACCCTAAAGCCCGATTCTTAAAAAAAAATTAATTAGGGCTTTCAGGCTGACCCAGCCTACAATCGGTGACAGGAAAAATCGTGGGAAGTAAAGCGGACGAGTGTCATTTTTACGACATCACTAATCAAGTGTCGACTGCTCATTAAAATATGGGTCTAACACTGTGTGCCCAAGCAGGACGCCCATTTGATTAGAGGCTAGACGCTCGCTTGCGGATCGAAGGTCTTGAGTTCAAATCCGGATGGTGCTGAACTGGCTCCCATGACGACCGAGCATGAAGTGGCTATCAGGTAAAAAAAATCTTGGGAAGTAAAGGCAGCTAGCGTGATTGTGACCAGATCACACACACCACATGCCGATTGGCTATTAAAATATACGCTTAACCCTAAATGCCCAATAAGTCTGAAGGCGTAAAAAAAAAGTCCTTTCACTATGTGCCCGAGACCACAAGACGTATAAAGGTCTTTAGGCTGTTTGACACATTAAAAAAAAAAAAACATATGAAGGATACAACAAAATGAAACAATAGAGGGTTACAATCAAGTGTCTATATAGTTGCATCGTCCATGCCCTTTAATGTCTAAAGCACAGCTTTTTTTTTAAACTTTATCTTTTCTAGAGTGCGTTTAAAAATTGGTGCCCACGTTCTAAATGTTATGTATTAGAAGTAGTAGAATTTAAATGGATGAAATTATATATAGATCTTTTCTTCATTCTCTACGTAATATCAGCCCTCGCCTTTTCCATCCCGCATTAAAAAAAATGTAATAAGAATTCATTTTGTTGTTGTTGCTTATTCGGGGGATATAAAATTATGTGATGATCCTTGCTGTATTGCCTTTGGAGAAGTAAGCAGAATAAAGTTCAAATGTAACCAATCGATCTTTCACAAAAACACGTGTTTGTTGTGTTTTAAGTATATTTTGAATAAGACCAAAACTGTTGCGCTGAAAGTATCGCAGCGCGCTATAACATTAGTGCGCTGGATAGTTTCAAAGATTTGTGAGAAGTTGCAAAGGCGTAACTTATGTGGTTAGGGTTAGTTTTTGGGTATTCATGTCAGAACTGTAAAACGTATTTGGTTAACTTACTAAAATTAAATAAGTGATAAAAATAACAGAACAAACGCCTGTTTCCATTCAAATGGGCAGTCTAAATATTATATATGTATAGAACCACAA